AAAAAAAAAAAAAAAAAAAAAAAAAAAAAAAAAAAAAAAAAGAGGGGGAATACAGATTGCTGGTCCTATTAAAGGTATCTTAGAGAGCTGAGATATGTGCGTGTTCCTGACAGCTGTGATGCAGAAACAACTTGAGCAGCATTTGGAGGTTGTGGCAGACAATACCTGTCCATTCAGCAATATTGGACACCTCTGTCTAAGCAAGTATGTTGGAGCCCCAGAGAAGAGTTCACACCTTCCCCTACTAGATCCTTTCCTTGGGATCCAGTGTCTCTTTTTCCCTCCCTCTCAAATACATTGCAAACTCTCAAGCTGTATCATCCCAAAATTTTCTTTAGCCAGTTTTTCCATGCAGTTCTCTGAGAAAAACTTTAAATGTGCCTCCCGTGGGCATTCAGTCTCCCTCTAGCTTTCTGAGAACAAAAGTCACCCGCTTATTGCTGAAGATGGGAAACCATAAATTGATTTAATAAAACTGAAGTGAGTCTATAGGGACTGGTGTGGCTTTTCCTGTTAAAGAGTCTAGTGGAAAAAGCAAGTGTAAATCAAGATTGCACCTTTGACTTCTGGGAGGAAACAAGGGCAGGACTTCTTGGTGTGAGAAAACCAAAGAAACGATATGTCTAATAAATTGCTGTGTCTGTTATAATACAAGCCTTAGAGTTAACTGCAGACTTTTAAATACCAGTGTGATACTAGCTTGTTTCATTCACTGTTTCTGTTGCTGCAGTGGTTACGCAGACAGGCTACCAAAAAGTGAAGATGGGTGACAAGGTGACTCTGAGCTGTGTCCTGACAGAGCCCAAGGAGGTTCTGCAAGTGACATGGCAAAAGAACTTGGAAAAAATCCCTGTGAATATAGCTACATACAGCAACATAATAGGACTAAAGATTCACGAGCCGTTTCAGAACCGAATAAATTTCACAAGCCTGCTTCTCAATGAGACAAACATCACTTTCTGGAACACGAGAATGGATGATACGGGATGCTACACATGCCTCTTCAACGTTTTCGCCCACGGCTCCTTMTCGGGAGATACCTGCCTGCATGTCTTTGGTGAGATTCCTTAGAAGAGTGTGTCTCTGCTGGAAAGTAAGATCTTTTCTCAGCTACAGCATTTCCTTCAATGGACTCAGAAACTCCAGTGGTAGGAGCTTGCTGCATGGGATGTAGCATAGAAGTAGGGCTTTATTAGTGTGAATAGGACTCTGTGGGGTTGTACTCTAGCCCGCTGTAGTTTTGACTTCTGAGCAGTTGTTGTTTGTTGTTTTGTGAGTATTAATTAAAAACTAACTCAACTGGGGTCTTTGTGCATCCCTTGAGCAGCTGGAACATGCACTGAGCAGTAATGTTCTTTTTGTGTCCTGTGAGTGCCAGGTACAACTCCAGTGCTGTAAACTACCATGCCAAACTCTTTCACTGATGGGAGATTAGCAAACAGGAGAAGAACATGGACCAAAAAATGGTTTTACTTGACAAATTATTTTGAAATCTGTGATTTCAGCTTGTGAAAAACTTTTACAGTATATCATTTTAGTATAAGGTGAAGAGCACTGAGCTATGGGGGAGGTGTTGGCCACTGTACTTACCTTGCCTTCTTGTACTAGGGGCTGTGTGAGAATTTGGCAGGCTCTACTCTGTTTGATACTTCAATTTGATACATCAAATTGCTGTTGATGCTTCTTGTCAGGTTCTCTCCAGTGACGGATTGTCTCATTTGTGTCTTGGAAGGTCTCAATGCATCTGTCCATTATAACATTTCTGAAGGGCATTTGACAGCCATCTGTGAGGCTGTTGGCTTCCCAGAGCCTACCATCAGCTGGAGCGGCTTGTTCAATTCTACTCCAACGCAGAAGGAGGTCAGGCACAGCAATGGGATCGTGTCCATCACCAGTAGGCTGGAGGTCTATGACACACGGAGCCTTGGGGAGCAAGACTTGACCTGCAAAGTAAGCAACAGGAATGAAGAAATGGAATTACCCCTGAAAATGAAAAAGGGTGGGTGAACGATGCAAGTTACTCATTAGTGTTCTCCTAGCCTCTGTCTTTTGCACTAGTATGTTTGGATCTGCTGTGAAAGACAGGGCATGAGAGGTGTGCCTGCCAGGTAAGATGGGAGGAGGACCTGCTCTGCACTCATCCTTGAGTTAGCAATATGTTGTGGTGTTCTGCTCCAAGGAAAACACCAAACTAGGGAGCTGTGGGATAGGGAGGCATCACAGATTCGGCAGCAAGTTAAAGCTCAGTTTTCAGATTGGCCTTTCTCATTTCTTTGACAGTCCAGAGGCATGTATCAAGTGAACAAAAAAAAYCTCAGGCAGACAAGAATGTGATCAGTTTTAGACACTTGGACTATTAAGATTTCCCCATAAAAATAAATACATCAATGTCACATCTAAACGCCTTGCAGTGCCAATTTATTTTTTCCTCCAAATTCTGCTCTGCTGGAGCAGTATTAACCCAGTTCTACAGGTAAGAAAGAGAAATATTATAAGCTTAAGTACCAACCTGAGTTTTTTCAGGAACGTTATGTTAAAACMTGATGTAAAGTTCAGATGTCTGCAAGTCTAGTGCCTTAAAGACCRTTTTCTCTGCCTTGTGGAAAGTAAGAAGACAGGTGAAGCAGCTTGTGACTGTGAATGAAATCCCTTAATAAGTGCTAAATGAAAAATGACTGTTATAGGAGAAATAGTAAAGAAAAAAATATAACTTTAAATTTTCTATCACAAGCTCAAAGTAATCAGTTCTTAGCTCTCAGTGATGTTACCTGAAAAATCATAACAAGTCGTTTTTATCTTATCTTAAATGCAATGTTCTTCTGCTTTATTTTGTTTGAAAATGAAGTATTTATTTGTAGACAGGAAAATGAGATTGTTGCTATTCATTCCTGTAAAAATGAAAAATCAGTTAATAACCCAATTTTTAAGCAAACTAGCCTTTCAGAGAAAGCAGAGTTCAAATGAAAAACTGAACATAGCTGCGCTAAAGGACATGATAGTTTTAGCTCCATGCAAATAAAATCTCACTGACGTTAGTGAGAAAGCTTACTGAAGTAAATTTTAACTGAGCCTTCATATAAATATTTGTATTAATGACATCCAAATGAAGTGGCCTGACCCAAGAAGATCAGCTGGAATGTTGTTTAGAGATACTGTCAGGTATCAAAACTATGAGCACACTTTCTTTTCTGGAAGTTCATTTAGTCTTTGCAACAGTGATGAAAAAGTCAACAGTCAAAGAAGTATCTGTTATTTGCAAACAAGAACTTGGCTTCTGGAGGAACACAGACATTCTTTGGGYAGTGTTAAGACTTGTATAAAATGGCTTTGAAGATGCACATACTCCCTCTGACTTTAGAGCTTTTGGAACTTTTGGAAAATCTCACTTCGGAGCCAGTGCCATTAATGAGGCAATCTCTTGGCTCTTTTTGCCCCTTTTATTTTTCCTATCTAAATCTTTTTGTTTCTTGTTCTTCACAGAAGAGTCATTCTCATTCCTTTGGCTGATCATTTTGGGGATTTTACTTTTGTGTGGTCTGACTGTGACTGCAGTGTGCTGGAGGAAGAGGACGTGCAAAAGGGGTCGAACTGGTGAGTTACCTGTCGCGTGGAAACCAGCAACTTGCACAGAGCAAAATGTCTTGAGAAAAATGTCAATTCGATGAGATATCGTTAAGGGCCGTCACATATTAGATCATATTAGATCATATTAGATCATATTAGATCATATTGGAATAATATTCATATTATTAATGTGACCAAAATTTTTAGAGGTTGCCTCAATAGCATGTAACTTTAGGGGCTCCTTTCCTGTTATTGCTGCCAAGGGACAATACATGACTGCAGGTTAGCAGGGGAGGTTACAAGCAGAGCGAGACACATTGCCTATATTTTCCTTTCAGGTGGAARTCTTAGCAGACATGGGTAATTCAGTAGCCATTCTTGCATTCACAGAGGGACATAAGCTTAATTCAGTCTAGGTCTGCTCAGAAGAGTTTTTGCCAGAACTGGTACACTGGAGAGAAGCTGTGGGTGAAGTGTATTGTGCCCTTGAGAAAAGGGCTCTTTTCTGTTCATGGAACCCTTACGTATTTTAAGATAAAACTATAAAATATGATRCATGATACATATGTACATACATACATATGATACATGTATGAATAGATACAAGGATGTTGTATGAATAGGTCGAAATGGTGAGTCTGGCTTTAAATCTTATTACAGTGTTAAGAAGTAGTTTCTGAAGTCAACAACTCCTGAATAGATCATTGTTTCATACTGATAATGTGATTTCATGCAAAGAGGAATTTCCAGAAATGCCAAACTACGTAAGTCTAGACACACAGCACTTACTGTTAAGAGGGAGTCAGCTAATAGATCTGCCTTTGCTAGAGGAACAAAATGCTTCACTGAGGGAGTTGGGGGAAAAGAAGCAAATGCTTTTTAGCTCCCAAATAAAACTTTGTAATCCTGTAAGCAATTCAGAAGATGAAAAAAAATGGTACAGTTCTTTAAATCACTGCTTAAAAACAAACTGCTTTTAATGTTTGGAATTTCAGAGCAACACAGAAGTTGACAGATATAAAAACACAGTGTCTAAAATTGAGGAACAAAGTTTGGAAAAGGCCAATGGAAAGTATTAAAGGTCTGGAAGAGAGATTACAAACGAACGGTCCATGAGTGAGCTGTAAGAGAAATTACAAACGAACGGTCCATGAGTGAGCTGTAAGACTAGTACCTTGTACTGGAGGAGACCTGTGGCCAAGTGCTGAGCAGAGGGGGCTGTGCCTCCTCTTTCTTACCTAACCACGTAGAGGTTGGAGTGTTCCTGGGGCAACGGGGACAGGGGCCATCAAACCCTGCTGCTCGAATTGCATCCGACTCCCCAGCCCTATGCATATCCTGGTGGATCACAGCCCCAAAATTTCGGTTACTGGCATTTCTTCCTACTTACAGCGGGTTTTGAGTAGCTGATGCTAGCTGTGGCTTCTACAAGAGCCTTTGAAGTCTTTTTGCCTCTTTTTTTTCCTTTTATTTTTTCTTTTTCTAATGTTGTCCAGTTTGTGAAGGTCTCTTTGATATCTTTTCAGTTATTTTTCTTTTAACTTCTGAAAAAGCCATGCACTATCCCAGATCCCTTTTGTAGCTAACTGGTTCTCCTTTATAAGGTAGCCAACATGTACACAAGGTGAACATGTGTAGTCCATCTTTCCAATGTTCATCCTTTTCCTGAAAGCCGCATTAATTAGCCTGTTGCGAAACCCTCTGACAATGACACAGCGTGGTTACTCCGCCACTATCTGATTTTCCTGGTAGTTCTGTTTTCTCCATTGTTAAAAGTCACTTTTCATCYTGAACATGATTCCACTGTAACTTTCCTGGCCAAATCCTTAGTGTGACAAGGATAGCTGTGAAGCTACAGTACTTTTAACTCTATATTTAGAATGTATTAGTCCTCTAGAGCTAGTATATATTAACAAGGAAATCCTCTATACCTCCCTGTCTCGCCTCTGAACAACACATGTTAGACCCAGGTCTGGTTTTGCGGTGGTTTGTTTTTCAACTGATCCTCTTTGAAATTAGAATCTATGCTCTTTAAAGCATTATGTACAGCAGAGAGAGCATGCCATTTAGTGGGAAAGCTTCTCTGTGCTTACTCTGCAGTATCCTCATATATTGTTGGAGCAAGGAACAACGCCTACATGTGTATTTCTGGGCACCAGTCTTAAAACAGAGCAAAAGAGCTAACAGCAGAGACTGGGAGGTGGCAGTTGGTTCCTGAGGTCACTTTCTGAGATTTCAACGCTTCTTTTCATTCTGTACTAGATAGAAAGCAAAGCCTTTCCAATTTTGTCCAGATGCCTGCTTTTTCAGCCTGAAACAGTGACTTTTATCAGGATGTCTGGGGACACTTCTCTGTCACAGTCTCTGCTGTACTGCTTCTGCTGCTCAGAGCAGGGTGATTTTCTTTGTTTTGTTTTTGTTTGCTATTGCTTCACCCTCCCCATGGCAGACACTTGGGAATCGGATGAGACACAGAGAGCAAAATTGTTGTCCCATGCCGAAGGTGTTTGCTCTAGGTCCCAGATGACAGAGCTTAAGACTCAGGAAGGCTCTGGAAAAAAGCCGACTGTGTGGATCTTCACAAAACCTCTCAAGTTGTCCAAGTGTCGTTTGTTTGGAAACAGGCTGGGCAGTCTTTGTGTCAAGAGCTGACAACAAAAGCATCAAAAAGTGTCAATCCTTATCCTTCCCCATGTACAGAGGCACACGTAGCTGTGCCTGTCACTTGAATTAAGTGTGATGAGCTGCTAGCAATTGCCTGCCTGCAGGTGGAATTGCCCCTGGGACAGAGGGTTTTTCAGTGCTACTCTTTTTAACAAAAAGTTAAATAAATAAAATTAAAAAAACAATTACACCTTTGCCAAAGTGGTTCAAATCAGGTATCTGAATCYAGAGACAGTCTAAATCAGTTCCTGTGGTTCTGCTGTTGCACATATATGGCAGCCTGGACATTCCCAACAGCATCAGTTGTTTCTTCAAGACCTGTTGGAAACCTGGGATTTYGGTCCAGCCAGCTAAGATGCTTTAGACTCAGAGGTGAAAACCTGGCAGGCTCTGTGGGGATTAAACGCCGTGCAAAATGTTTTATGGAGGCTTGTCATGTTCTCTGGGWAAAGTTTATTCCCAAATGACTATATATGCCAGTATTTTTTTAGTGTGATGGAAAGAAAAGTTGACCTTTTTTGGTATTTTACCATGTGCAACGTCTGGAAAACAGGACAGATTCTGGTTGCCCAGGCGCCCTTACARGAATGAGCACTTGTACAAGCTCTCCAATTGCTTTAGTTTTGTTTTCACTACACATGGCTATTTCCAGCTATTTCTGGAAAAGACGTTTTACTGCTGTCAGCTAGTGCTTACCCAGTTGAGGAGAGGCTGAGCTGACTATAAACCTTGGCTAAAAATGATCTCCATCCTGTTTTGTCTATATGACTGTCCTTATTACTTCTGTGGATGTATTTTGGCATGCAGCTATGCAGCTCCGTTTTTTCTTAGACTTCAACATTGTGAAAAGAACAACTCAGGGTTAAAAGACTGGTCAATGAGCAGCCCATTGGTGCCACTTGGGCTCTGGGTCCCGTCCTGTCTGGATGGGCAGCGGGGCTCATTGTCCCAGCGCTGCTGTGGCCCTGCTTAGCCCAGGGAAGCTCTTCAAGGAGGTCATGGAGGCTTTGAAGGTTTTTCCATGTTCCCGGCAGGAATACAGCCCTGTGTGCTTGGCAAGTGTGCGTGCAGCCATCTAGTTTCCTCCTGGGAAGAGGAAATAAAGCCTGTCTATTCCAGACAGGATGGAGGTGCTGACACAGGAAACCTTCCAGAGTTTGTCCTTCTTACCTAAGGCAGAGATGATTAACCGGAGATTACTAGAAATTAAGTTCCTCAGTTCCTCTTTTTTTTTTTTTCCACTTTTTTTTTTTTGCAAATAATGGGGACATTTTGCTATGTATGATTAACAAAATGTCCCATGCATCATGTCTAGGCCCTCTTTTTTTTTTTTCATATAAATAATAGCACTTTGTGGCCAGTCTGACAGCTGAAATGGAGGGAAAATAGCATTTCTATGATATATATGAACTGTTACTTTCTGTTTTGATTGCTCATTAACTCCTTGGTAAGAATTACATAGATGTTCAATTCTGAACTGTATTTTTGCTTTAGAAAAGGAGAAAAAAATACTTTGTCAGGATGTAGTGTGATTAGATAAGGGCATGGAAACCTTTCTAATATACTTCTCGGCCAAATGTAAGGAGGCCAGGGATTTTGTTTTTCCTCTCTCCACTGATTAATTTACTAGCTGTCACTTTTTAAGTAGAATACTCCATTGTCTTCATGTAGGTGCCATTTGGGTAAATTACTTGTCATCCAGTAGGCTGGACATAAATTCAGTATGTAAAACATAAAGGCTTCTTCCTCTGTAATGTTTTCAAGAATGCGGCTTTATTGTATATTAATAGAATTTTCCCCTGATAATTTTCTCTAATTCCTTCTCATGTTAACTAAAAGGACCTTAAAAAAAAAAAAAAAAAAAAGGAAAAAAAAAGCCCTATTTAAAAAAAAAAAAAAAAAGGTCACAAACTGGAGGAGACTCAAACACCAGGACTAAATTTTGGGATATTAAGCTACTGGTATGTTCAACAAATACTTGTAATTATATATTTTCGTAACCAGCAAAGTTGTTTTGYTTTTCATGATTTAGAAATCCATTTAGGTTTTTGTGTATTCCCAGTCTGTGTCATGTTCTGAATTTTGCAGTGTGTGGCTCTCACAGCTTGGTCTTCTTTAGTAGCAGGTACCTAAACATTTGTTTATTTCCCTTTTACAGTAAGTCATTCCTGTCGTATAGAGCAAGATCCTATACTAATCCTAAAGATTGGTCATGCTGTGCTCCGGGTCTTTTGTTTGTGATTTGCCATTTAAATACACAGTGAGGCTTTGTACAGTCAGGAAGGGCTGTTGCGATTGCCTGGCTTCCTTCAAAGTACCTTGCTGAATTTTACGGAGATATAAGGGAATGAGTATCAAACCACACTCCATTTGAAGCAGGAGGCAAATTYCCGCATCGCTCTGTGTTGAAAGCACCACCGTCCAGGGTCAGCAAGGGCCGTGTTGTGCCCTGCTGCTCCTCCAGCAATCTGAAGGCTTTTAGGCTGGATGTTTGGAATTTCCAGGCTCTTGAGTTTCATGGTAGGATGTGCACACTTCATTTAGGTGTAGCTGTATCTCCTGCAGTTTACTGAGGGGAGCTGGTTGCTGTTTAAAGCGATAAAGTGAATAACCAGCTGTTATTCAGAAGGCAAAAGAAAGTGTCACCCCTCAGCCCCGGAGAGAGGCAGGCACGTGGGCAGGCCAAGGCTGCGAAACTCGCCTTAAACTGCGCCTCTTCAGTTTGTTGTCTCTAGGCGCTATAAACAAAGCTACAGAATAAGTTTGAAATGGGAAAATAATCTTTGGGGATTTGACCATGTTGCCTTTTATAGCCTGCTTTAAGCTGGAAATGATTTTGGAGTCTTGGTGATTTTAGATTACTRAGGACAAAGCCTTCATTTAAATCTTCTAATGCAATTATATCTTCTGGTTCTGGTTGTATGTTTTCTTCTAAAAAAATAGAAAAGGAAAAAGAAAGGACTTTTTTATACTTATGCCATAAGTCTAAGTTTTTTGAAATCAGAAACTTGAATTTCTCTGTCAATTGTTATTTTATGTTTTTATATTTTCTCTACTGTTTATCGACTCTCACTGCCCCCGTGCTGCTCAGCAAGACCGGATGAGGCAACACAGGGGCCACAATTCATTCTTTTCTCCTGTGTTTGTTTGTTTGTTCATTTGTTTTCTAGGATTCTAGAAGATTTTCAGTCATCCACCAGATTACTACAGCTCAACAACCTGAAGTCAGCCTTTAAAACCAGGGACTTGGTTGGCAAGGCTGGAAAGTAACAACCATAAAAAAGAATTACATCAGGACCGGGGCSCTACCCTATCTAGATGCTGTGCCTATTGCTAAAAGATTAAGTACAATGTTTGTTATCCGGTCCAGACACTTAAATATATAAAACAGGGTCGAGGAAGGAAACATTTACTTGGACTATTTTGAGTGTTGCCAGTTTGCAAAGCAAAGGGGATTTYATTTCTTTCAGCTCAGTTTGAAAGCTGCCAGGTTCGGGAGCTTTGCAGGCTCTCATGGGGAAGGTCTTGTTTCTTCCTTTTTGGACACACTGTTTAGAGCGGTCTCTCCTGCCTCCATCCTTTTGTGTCCTTTGCCTTTGAATGCAAGCAACCTGCTGGCCCAACACAACTCTCGGACTCGGACTTTCTCCTGCAAGATGTTGCCCCCGGAGCTACCCCTCATGCCTCACTACTGTGAACCTTGTGGTATCAACAAGAAGTTTGACAAAGGYTGTTAGATGAAGTGCTGTGGTTTTGGCAGCCACCGAAGGCCCTGTGCTAATGATACAAGCTGGGGCACAACCCCACTTCATCCCCAGGCTGTTTCACAGCTCCTTCTCATTTTTATTCTTGTTTGCTCTCAAATTACTGCGCATTAAATGCCTGCCTGTTTCCAGGCACAACGGTTCTGCCTGTCCCATGGGCTACACCGTGCCACGTTGATGGTGAGAGTGGGTGGCCCCYGGGCACTGCATCACCCTTCATCTTAATTTGCAGGAGGTCAGAGCCTCTGCTTGCCCTGCTCCAGGGGCTTGGCAAGGGCTCAGTGCATATTTGCTAGTATAGACGTTGCTAAAAACAAGCCTACCTCTGAGCACACCAACTGACAGGTGGGAGGACAGAGAGAAGTCCTCTGGGAATTTTGGCTCYACTGGTGAGTACCAATGTCTGAGATGCATCTTCTGTTCTGGGTGGATATTGGTTATCCTATTGGGTTGGCCAGCTGTCTTCTCTTGCCTGTTGGATTTGATTAGCCTTTTTTTTTTGTGCATCTGTAGTGTTATGTTGTGTTGTGTTTAACATTTTTTAACATTTTAGATTGTGCTTTTTATGTAATAAAATAATCAAACAGATACTGTCTATCTAAGCATCAATGCGGAAGATTTAACAAATGGGAGACTTAAAACTAACTTTTTTTTTCCTAAGGATACACGATATTACATTATAGAATGGCAGCCTCTTCAAAGTCTGGCTCAAAAAATGTGTGTATACATGTCCCCATGTACTCTTGAGGGCATGAGAGGAATGATGTTTGCTCTTAATGTTGTCAGCAACCTCGCTATTTTGCAGGTACAATACAGTGTATTGTACATATTTTTAAACTTAAAAATTTGATCAAGCAAGCCCACCAAATATTGCTTTTTTTTGGCTGCTAAGAATAGTTGATTTAGGATACCAATAATGCTGCATTCCAAGTTTGCCCTTCTATTTACATTTGATATAACATTCCTTTTTGTACAGAAGTGGGACTTAAAGGCTTTTATGTCTTTTTTGTTTTGTTTGCAGTTTTTTAGTTTTGGATTTTGCTTGTTTGCTTGTTTCCAAAAGTCTTTTGAGCAAAGTAAGTTTGAAAATGAATTTAGAAAATATGTTTGACCACAGCAGCTGCATTTTACTTCACATTTGACTGATGACTGATCAGCTGAATGACCRATCAATCAAATTACAATTTTATAGCTTTTTAGCAATATGGCATGTCTCATGTTTGCTGCTTAATTATTCCTTATTTAAAGTTACATGTTTTACTGATGTATTGGCTRTCTTGTCTTGTGTATTTGCCTTTGCTGAGAACATATAAATAAAACAACTTTTAAAGTAAGACTGTATGATTCCTCTCACTTGTAAGTGACTCATATAATGTTGTCACAACTGGTCTTCAGATCTTGAGACAAAACATGTGTTCAACCACTCTGTTAGTACTCAAGTGGAGAGAAGCATCATGCTTGAGCTGTAAGTGTGTGATTAAATCCCTTGGAAAAGGCAGTAGTGGCCTGTGATGTTCCTGAAGACATATGACCTTTTGTGGTGAAACCACAGTGATTTTTGTTGTTGTTGTTGCTGTTGTTGATTTGTCAGATAATTGGCCTGCACTTTTCTTTTTAAAAGAGATGTGATGTCGAGAACTCGCTTCTGGTTAAAAGGATGTGGCAATGCTCCCATCTGCCTAAAGGAATAGAGTGGTAAATTACACCCTGTGTTTCACTATATTGGGGAAAAACAGCAMTTTCTTGCTCCTCTGAGCTCTGGTGTAAGTAAGGTAGAACTAACCATGATTTCCCCAAAATTTGAGGCTGTGACATAAACTTCCACTTAAAACAACTTTTTGGGGAAACAAACATGCTGCCAGTAGTTTGTCCCATTGCTCCTGAGGAGCAGCCCACTGGGTGCTGGCTAGAAGCAAAGGCTCCATTGCCTATTCCCTCCTTATTTGATGGAAACGTCGAGCTCTGCTTCCCCTCAGTAGGGCAAAACAAACGTAGAGAAACAAAGCTAGTGTGCGGGCCGGGAGGGAGACACGGAGGCCCTATGTAAGAGCTGCTTTTGGCTGATGGCCTGCCCCTCTGAGATTGTCAAGATTTTGGCTTCTGGGCTGGAAAGCTTGAGGATGAATAGCTTAGTTGCTACAGCTGTGTCCTCCCTTTGTGTGGTTTTCTTCCTGGCAGGCTCAAGGCTGACGGTCCTCTCCGTCTTGGGTTGACGCGCGGGGCAGGAAGGTGAGGCCTCTGCTAGAGATAATCGGGGTTCCTGAGCCTAGCTGAGCTGATGGCAAGAGAACGGTTGTCAAAGCTTGGTCAGGCAGAGCTACGGCTCTTAGGTGGGAAAGGAGGGGGAGTTTGCAAAGAACTGTCACTTGTGACACCGAAACAGAGATGGCTTTCTTCCTTGCCTCGTCCGCTTTTGCATTGCTTTGCCACATCCAAGTCAGCTGCGCTGCTGCAGCCGCCTCTAAAAGCGAGTAAAGGCATGCCGGGTCTTTCCTCTTGTATCCTATCCAGAAAAAACGGGATATAGGAGACTTTGTGGATGTCCATGGGTGCTCTCTCCCCACGTGTTGCCGTGCATGCCTGCTAACTTGGCTCCTTGGCCAGGCGGTGCCYGGCGCTGCTGCAGCGGTCACTGCCAGAGCAGGGAGAGCGCTTCTCTGTGGTGCAGTGAGTTGCTGGAGGAGAAAGGGCAGAATAATTTTAGAAGCTAGGAGGATGTAGGGTATTTGCTGGGCTTTTTTTTTTTTCTTTCTTTYTTTCTTTTTTTCCCCAAGATTAATTAGGTGACGCTAGCAACAGAATAGGCGCTGGGCAAGAACTGGTGTGTCAATGAGCAGTACTTAGCAATCGAAGGGAGCTTGAAAGAGCTTGCAAGTTAAGAGAACTGTGTTTAAAAGGAAGTATTTCTGATATTTCTGATGCCATTTGTATTTAGCAATATTCACTCTGAATATCAGTATTGTCTGCTGTCTCTTTTCAGGGACTGACTTCATACAATTTTTAATTCTGATCAGGAGTTTTTATTTGCCTGATCTTATACTCATGACAACCAGTTGTAAACCTCTGCAACCTTCTGCTGCTGCTTTCTGTAGGGTCAGCCTCCTAATAGGGTGCCGATCATTCTGTGCCAAGAGAAATTCACTTTACAAGATTTTCGAGCAAATTGAAACGCTCACCAYGACTAGGGCATAGATGGCTAGTATGTCTTCCAAGTCAGCAACTTCGGTGTCTTCAAGAACTCTGAGTGTGCAAAGTTTCAGAAAGACTTACCTACCCACCTTAGGAGGAAAACCAACTACGATGTGGGCTGCTCGTTTTCCAGTGAGGCCCTCCAAGTTGCTATAGTCCTTGTGCTAAAGCACAGATGAAAATCTGCAGCTTCTCTGTGCCTAAAGTRCCAGTATCTTCTCTGTGGACTTGGGACCCTTTTGCTGTGTAGTACACAGRGATGACTTGAAGGCAGCGGAACTGACAGGCTCTCCACGCTGTGTTTCATTGGGAGCCCTGCAACATACCCTGATGACGCCCGGATGCACAGGATGGGGAAACACGGAGCAGGATCCCAGCCTTGGCGTTGCTCTCTGTTTACTTAAGAAAACTGAGCTGTCAGATTTCCTTACTGATTTGCTGTTCAGTAAATGGCTTCTGGAAAACAATGTAGCTGAATGTAGGAAGTTGACAAAAGAAGGAAATCAGATGTTTTCCCACTGCTTGTTTGAGATGAGGTTTAAGCAGGTCACTTTTTACTCGGTGAAGTGCCTATCATACAGGCTGCCTCTTCTGCTGGTGGTATTACAGAGCTGYAGAACAATTGGAGTTGGAAGGGATCTTTGGACATGATGTAATTCAAACCCTTGCCAAGTAGGCTCCTTTAGGGTGCGCTGTGTAGGATGGTATCTGGATGGCTTTTGAATATTTATCCAGCTTTACCAAGAGGTGGAAACTCCTGTTTGAGTGCTGTCACCCTCCAAGTAATGAAGTTTTCCCTTGTGTTCAGACAGAGCTTCCTGTGTTGCAGTTTGTGCCCATTGTCTTTTGTTGTATCACTGAGCATCACTGAAAAGGGTTTGGCTCTTCTTTACACCCTCCTTAAACTTAAAACACTGATAACATCACCCTCAACTTGTCTTTTCTCCAGATTAAACAGTCCCAGCTCTCGCAGCCTTTCCTCATGTGAGAGGTACTCCAGTCCCCTAATCATCTTGATAGCCCTCCACTGGACTCTCTCCAGCAGCTCCATGTTTCTCTGTATTAGGGAGAACCCAGAACTGGGTACAGTACTCCAGATGTGGCCTCACCAGGGCTCACTAGAGGTGGAAGATTCCCTTCCCTGACCTCCTGGCAATTCTGCTCTTAATGCATCCCATTTAGGGTAGGAAACTATTAAGGAAGTACTTAATGTATTTCAGTTCGTAAACATACTGAAATCCACCCTTGACATCACCCACCCTTGAAGTRTTCCTGATTTCACCTCCTTTATGTCCTTTCTTTGGCATATGTCCTTCCCTGTCCTCTAGTCCTTTGTTCCCCTTAGTCCTGGATGTATCTTGTACTTCTTGCTCTTTCTGTCCATCTGGCTGGTTGCTTTTCTTCTCTGATGCTGGAGTATTCACAGCCGTCGCTCCATCACATGAAGGTATTGCTTTATCTAACCCTGATTCTCATCCTTGTTTCCAAACTAGGTCTTATGGAAGGAGTAAATAACCCGCAAACCAGTAGRAAGAGCAGGGAAAACCAGCAGCAGATGCCTGCCCATCAGTTAACAGCAGGAGCTCCCTGTAGATCCTGGCACCTAGGACACCCCATTTTCTCCTCCTTCTTCTGGCTTCTTGAGTCTCCTAGAAAGATACGAGGAAGACGTGAAGCTGCAACTGTGTAATGTGACCCATGTTTCATCATGCAGAGAAGAGGAAGCTCCACTGCTGCAGTTGTGCTAAGCTAGGATCATGTAAAGCAGTTGGGGTGGCAGCCCTTTTAACAACTGCTTTTTGGCTGTTGCTTTGCTGTGGCTTAGTAGGAGCTGAAACAATTTCTGTTTAGCATTTAAATGAAAGTTTAATTTCTCCTTAGGCAGAAAAGAGATGACTCCTCCCACACCAAGCTTTAAAAGAAAGGAAGTTGAGGGAACTTTTTTGTTTGAAAAATTTCTATATAAACTTTATATAATACTTGATAAATATCTGTCTAACTCTACAGCTGATCTCATGGCTCCAAAGACCGTATGCACATGAATCCTCATTTTAGACCTTTCACTGAATGCACGTTCCTAATGCTTCCTGGACCCATTTCACTTTTCTCTACGAACAGGGACAGGTAACAGAGCACAGCGACTCCGCGTGTATGGTGTGTCCAGATCATCCAGGGATCTTGTTTTCCAGTTTTCTTGTTTTCATCTTGTTTATTAGAGGCTTTCATCTTTCTTCCCTGCCAGTTGGGAGATCCTCAGTAGACTGGTACTTGTGGTAGGAAAGGCTTTGAATGTCAAAACATCAATAGAGAAAGTACTGACAGTCTTCTAAAATGAAAGGGTGATGAGAAATGACCCTACAAGTGGCAGATTTAGGCCAGAGAAATCCTTGGGGATTAATGTAGAGATTTGGCTCCTCTCTCTTGTGTTATTTATGTTATTATATGACTGAAGAAGTGTAACGCTGGAAGAAAAAAATAATAATCCTGGGAAAAATGCTTTTCTGCCACAGCTTGGAAGAAAAAAAAAAGTTTTATCCCATAAGACACTCTCACTGAATCTAATTTTGAAGATGTTTTCTTTATGCTTCATAGCCCTGGTTTTCTTTTAGGCCCATATCCTGTGAGAGTTCAGCCTACTTTACCCACAGCTTGTCTTTTTTTTTTTTTCTTTCCCTGTCCAAACCCGGGATAGGAAAAGGTGAGACCCACGAAAACCATGGTTTGCCCTGCTCCCTGTGAGCAATTCTGTTGATATAGTGACCAAGTTGGGAAAGGCAGGATGAGGGCTGGGCTAGTTTGTTCCCGAGGTAGCAAAACTACTTATAAAGAGCTGACTCCCAATCTTTGTTTTTGTAAAGGATTGTGGTTAGCTCCCACATCTTTCCTACAAGCAGGGCACTGCGGAAGGTAGGATGAGAGATGGGCCATGTGGGCCGTTGGTCACTGAGTTATTTTCTTATTTTAAGTTATTTTTTGTGACCTTCACTGCTTGAGTTCAGGGAATGTGTCCAAAGATCACCAGGGAGAAACAAAGCTCCCTGCTAAGCTGTGTGAATTTTAGCTCACATAAAATGATTAGGAG